AATTGTTCCCTCGTCGCAGCGGTTTCTGGAGGGCTTTAGAACGGCTGTTCGATCTCGAGACTGTGGCGTCGATGCGCTTGATTGGAGCGGAGTTTCTGTGTGGAGGTTCACAGACTTCACTCAGCCTGACATTACTCCTCACGACCACATACGGAGGAGATCAAAGATGAGCGAATATTCAGAGTCGATTCGATATATCGTAAGGTGGACCCTTTTCAGCCTTTGTCTGAACCCAAACGCCTCATGTTTGCGTTGGGCGGGACATGGAGCACGAGCGTCTCTCGTTCGGGCGGGGGGGGGGCGTACTCTTATGTTTTGCATGCCTTAGCGGGTAGACCATCCACCACGCCTCCTCGAGAGGACGGAGCATCATTCCCACAGGACCGATCACCGATGGCCACTCGTTCCTTTCTACTTTGCCNTACTCATAGTCGTGCATGCCGTAGTCGTTAGACCATTGACCTCGCATCCTGCACCCCTACAAACCCGGGACGGAGCACGCTCACTGGACCAGGCTCTCACATCACCAAGCGCGAAGCGCCGTGAGATATTCGGCGAGTCGCATGAAGGGTGCGCTGCATCCTGCTAAGGGTTTTCGGCATCTTGTGCTTACTTCCTTGCATATGGATGACAGCTGCGTATGTATGACTTAATATATTTTCCGGTGCATGACTTTCTGAGACAGTTGTAAGATCTGTGCAACTGCCTGAGGGTGCTTGGCCATTTTAACACGACGTGGTGCGATCATCCCGCTTACGAGGATTGAGGCTTCTCCACCCCGCACAACATGATCTACTCGACCACCATTTTGGCTACCGCCAAAAGAAAAAACGGAGGTGAAAAAAAACGGTAACCTGGTTGCCGAGTTTACGAAGTGAATGGGCTTGTTTTACAACGTCGCTACCAATCGACGAAAACCCAATCCCGATGGCAAACACCGATGGGGGGGCTTGTTTTACAACGTCTTTGCCAAGCGACGAAAACCCAATCCCGATGGCAAACACCGGGGGGGGCGGCTTGTTTNACACAACGTGGTGCGATCATCCCCCTTGCGCGGAGCGGGTTCTCCACCCCGCACAACATGATTAAACACCGGGGGGGGCGGCTTGTTTTACAACGTCGTTGCCAAGCGACGAAAACCCAACCCCGATGGCAAACACCAGGGGGGGGGGGCGGGGGATGCAAAAAAAACACCCCAGTGCTGATGCAGAGGTCGTTACATTTTTTTTTTCTCCCATCATCGGATTCTGTCGTCTGCCCCTTTGGCCTCTATCCTCCACTTCTACTAGCTAGACGACCCAACCAGGGTCACATGGGAGGGGAGGGCTGGACCCGTCCTGCGGTTCCTGCCTGAGGTATTTTTATCGCGAGAAGAGTATTTTTATCGCGAGAAGGGTACAGTAATCCCTTCCCTCGCGACTTACGAGGCGAGTAGACTATGGTTTACTAACAACCAGCTTTGCAACGCATCGCTTTCGTCCTAGACCAGGATTTATTTAGTGAGAAAAAAACTCACTCTGCCGGGACTCGAACCAATGACCTGACCCTTCGCAGGCTGCGAGGTTACCCACTAGACCCCCGGGGCGACCTATGTTCTTTGCTGTTGGTCGCGACGAGGTACCGATAGATTCTAGGCCAGCTGCATCATGCTTCCAGCTGTCTTTCTGCTTTCTCCCCTAGGGCACATTCAGCGCGAACAAGTGTACACTCAGATCTGATGTGGGCACACCTGAATCGCTTCCAGTACAACGAAGACTGTTGGGGAAAAACACTCTTGCATAGTTGCCGTGTGGTTTGCCGACGTAGCCATCTGATCTCATGTACGTACGTTAGGTTACAAGCCGAAATGCATACACTACAAGCGATCATGACCATGGAATGCGGACGACATCCATCCGAAAGAATGTGGTGCTCTGGCAAGTTGGACACAGTTTCGTACTACTCAACCCCTGACACAGCATAATCTCCCAACAAGAACGAGGTGCAAGTGACCAGCTTTTGAACACACAAACAGGTGCGAGCGCACAGTACTGCCGAACTCGTAGGCCCGCTGCCCGGCAGAGCCAGTAATGTCGCGTATCAGTATTGTCGCGTATCACAGATCGAAAAATCAAGTAGTGATGGTGGTTCCAAGTAGGAACGGTTTGCTGGTCGGGCACATTTTGTTTCGTGCGGGAAATTAGTGCTGTAGCTACAGCCCCATTTGCAGGACGTCTTGATATGTAGATCACGTATAATGTTTTATAACCGGCAAACTGCGAATAATGAATGGCGGTGAGGTTCCAACACTGACTTGCGCGCGAAACAACGAGAGCCGCAGGTAGTTCAAGGCCCGCGATTGTAGTCCGTCCATCCTGAAATTTGTTTCAGAATTCTCATACTGCCTCTACTCTAGGCTTTCCGTCTGGGCCGAGTACCATGCTATCCGGCAAGTCCTGCAAGACTTCGCTCCTGCAGAAGTAGTAGTGACGACCCTTCGTGGCTGAGCAAGCCATACAGGGGCCCGTGTCTGCGTCTTGATGCTCCTCTGTTGGATGTGAAACCGGCGTCAATGTCACAAAGGAAACACGGATAAAGCATGGAGGGTTCAAGCACTCGGTATGTGTTTGGTTGTAATTGTAGTGTTTAGATATGGAAAAACAATGACAATTGATTATTACCATCGTGAACCACCGGGTTCATCTTGTAGTCCGGTGCCAGCGTGCCCGCAAGTTCCCCCCAGCAATTTTTCGCCGCCGGATCAGCCCCGGCGCTCTCCAGCAGACTGATTGCGAGGTTCTGTCTTTCCCGCGTAGCTCGATGGAGGGGGGTGTCCAATTCTCGATCTACCACCGACACGTCGCCGCCGAAGCCTAGCAAAACGGCGATCACGTCCCGCCGGCCGTTCGAGGCGGCGTGATGAACGGGCGTTCGGCCATCGACATCCCCCACGTTCGGCTCGGCGCCTGCCATAAACAAACGTCGTCGTGATATTGGCGCCGACGAATTATGCTTACATTATTCATGTGGCTGTGGTTACCTTGTGGTGAAGGGTGCTCAGGGTTTGGTGCTTGCGTTGTGGCTGCGCCTGTTGTTGACTTCATGTTGTTGACGGGGGTCCAGCTTGCTAGCCATTGATCCGTCGCTAGCTGAAAGTGAACATTTCTTGAAAGGTTGGCTGCAAAACAGCGCCACTTCATGTCAATCGATCATGCTCGATGCCACACACCGCAATTTTGCTTTCAGATCGTACAGGAACCAATTACCACCTACGCCTACCTGCCTCCAACAGAGCGAGCGCGACGGCAGCGGAACCTTTCGAGCAGGCGAGATGCAACGGAGTCCGCCCGTAAAAATCCGTGGCGTCGACATCCCCATGGTTTTCGACTAGCGTCGTAACTAACTCAGCCGCCGCAGTAGCTGCGGCGCTACCGCGGCATGGCCCGTTGCAGGCGTAGTGGAGCGGCGTCCAACAGCCTCCGCCCGAGACGTTGGCGGCGGCGCCCCGCTCGAGAAGCAATTCGATCACTTTGGTGGCGCGGAAGCGGCAGGCCTCAGTCAGTAGAGTCGAGTGAAACCGGCCCCCGACTGTTTCCACGTTCCCGCCTTCGTCGAGGAATCGCTTCACCTCGGCCAGGTTCCCCCTTCGGATGGCCCTGGTGCGTTCGGTGGCATTTACGGAGGCGGAACAATTCGGACATCCCAGTAATAACATGTGTGCGCACAAGATTTGACTATGGATCGGCGGGCGGTTCGATAGAGCACATACTGTGCACAGAACGGTGAGAAGAAAACCCGACTTTTTTCGCTTGTTTTATCGTGATGTCATCGCAAAAGTACGTTTCCTTCCCTGAATACACGCTTTGCTCGGCACACAACAGGTTGAGTTCGTGTAGCTCACCATAGAGCAGCGGTAAAAGCGCAATGAGCAGCACCCGACACGGAGGACAACACACTCACTTAGAAAGATCCTATCCACCCGGCCTGCTGTTTTCATTTTTCAGCAACAACAGGCGCAGGGCAGATTGTTGCAACCTGGGTGTTGCTTGCGATTTCTTGAGTTTGCAGCTCATTTATCACGGTTGCGGCTCCCATCTTTGACCACCAACTGCCCAAAGGTAGACGAGCTCAACAATCATAGGGCGGCAGCCGCGCTGACGGCCAGCATCATATAGATGGCCAATCCGAAAGAATTAGCGTGTCGGAGGCCCTGTTGCTCTTCTGCTGCGTGGTGCCGTGGATTGATGTTGACATGTCCGACCGAAAACAGAACATCTCGCCGCATTTTTTCCAACGGCATTGTTTGGTGAGGTGGCACACGTCTCTCACACACCTTATTGAGCAGCACCCAAGCACCCAATACCCACGAAGCAGCACGGTGCCGGGAGATGGTATCATATAGACAGCCGAACCGAAGGAATCAGCGCGGTTGAGGTCTTGGTGCTGCTGCTGTACTCGTTCTACTGTTTCCGTGTTTGCTATGTGTGATTGAAAAAAATTCCCCAGCAGCAGCAGCAGCAGCAGTTGAAGCCGAGAGCGCTACGCAATGTCTAGTTTTGGACAAAGAGCGGACTGAACACCGCGTCTGCCGGTTGTCCATCTCCACAACTGACCTGGATATGAGTCTGGCAGGTCTTTCTAGCGTTCTCAGTGATGTTACAGCGCCCGCGGTGCGCTTGTCCGATGCTTCTGTCAAAAACACGGATCCGTGAAAGTAGCAAGCCCCCAAAAATCCCGGCTCCTTCTTTTCACGTTTTCGGGGGGAAACGCCTCCATATATGTTCAAGAAAAACCGATTCCGTGAAATGATGCGTGATTGTATGGTCGTTAATAATACCCCTTGCGTTTGCCGTCCACTACTAAGAAGAAACCTGAAAATGTCTCGAACATCCTCAGGAGCGCCACCACCGGCAGACATTCGCACAAGGGGTAGATCTCACCACGACACCTTTCCCGCGCGAGGAAGGAGGAAATATGTAGAGGGCTCTCGTGCCTAGTCCATACGCATCTCGCCTCTCTCACACTCTGGGTCTGCGCAAAGTTGACCCTACCGAGCCAGTATGAGGTACGTGCTTTTTTTAGGAAAGACAAGAACGACAGAGAGAGAGGGAGGGGGGTAGAAGAGAGCAGCGGGGTCCGGTCGTTCGCCGCAGATGTAGATGGGAAGTAGGAATTCGATTGAGATACGCAGAAATCGACGCTCCCAGCACCCCGTCTGCGATCTCATCTGTTTGCCCCGTTAGATGCCCCGAAAAGATACGAGCAAACGAGAGTGAACCAAATCCCGAACCAAAATCCCGACGTCACGATTTGGGGTCACGCGTTGCACGTATTTCAGCTGCTGGAGTACCGCCGCCTGCACCGTTGCTGGCCGCACCCCTCACCCCGTCTCTCCATTGAGTTCATCTACGGCAGTGTCAACAGGCTGAGCACGAAACCAGACATGTCTTCTACCACGCCGTTCAGAGAGTTGGGGGGGCGGGCGAAGGTCTCCTTGCCTGCGTGGGAGCTGCGCAAGGATAAGGAGGAGGTCAAGTACGTCCTCAAAGTGTGCCGGGGTGTGCCGCAGAACGACGCCCACGACGTGAGTGTGTACCTGACACCGATGACGAAAGAGATTTGTCGTGTGATGGATTCACGCGTGTGCAAAACGAGCAAGAGAGAAAGGTGTGTTTTTGCCGTGCACTTTGTCCGGAGAGACTGATGATCCACGGTACTGGACAGAGGTAGATCTGGTTCTCTTTGGTTTGCAGCGGTTATGTAGATCGCCTTCAGCAGCCCTGTACCGGCGGAACCTTGCTACAGCGGTTCATCATATTTGCTACGCGTCGATGCTACGCGTCTTTGAGCGTAGCAGCGGCAGGTAGGGCTCAATAGTTGTTGTGTCTTTGTTGTTTTGAAGACGTTTAGGCGAATGTCACAACAAACATGCCACGCCCATTACATTTTGTGTCACGCTCACACCAGAGAGCATTCGCCGGCAAACCTGTGACACGCCGGCAGTGCGTTATCCATGAATCCAACTTGGGCCTGCCGGGCCGGGTTCATCCTCAAGCAAGAGGCCGAAAATTCCCTCAGGCAAACAAAGCCGGGCTTTCCTTCAAGCAGTTAGCTGGTGTATGCATCGATGTGTACACGTACGGCGTGTACGCAAGCATATTCTTCTCGCGCTAGAGCCTACGTAGCACTACTGCTGTGTTGCGAACACCCAAGTTTCATGTACAAGTAGAGCCAGCAGTGGCATTCACGCCAACGGTCCGTTGATCACCCCGACTGACTCCATCTCCGGCATTGTTGTCTCCTGCGGGGTTGTCGCCTGCGGCGTCATTGCTGGAGATGACGGCTCCGTCGGTGTGATTATCGGACCGTTGGCCCGGAGGGTCACCAGCGCGATCCCCCTCGGATGCGGTATTCTCGCCTTGAGGAGAATTGCTGAGGTGTCTCGAGTTTAGATGCAGGCAAGCACTGCCGGCTGACGCCAGTAAGGGTTTGAACTCAAGAACACCGCAGGGAGGTGCGAATTTCCAACGCTGTATATTCACAGGCGTCCCACTCAGGCAACGACCACACACATGGGGCGGTGTGTACGATCTCCGGACAACTTTTTTTTTTCTCCCATCATTGGACTCTGTCGTCTGCCCCTCTGGCCCCTATCCTTCACTTCTACTAGCTAGACTACCCAACCGGGGTCACATAGGAGGGGGGGCTGGACCCCCTCCTGCGGTTCCTGCCTGAGGTATTTTTATCGCGAGAAGGGTATAGCAATCCCTTTCCTCCCGACTTACGAAGTCGACTATGGTTTACTAACAACGAGCTTTGCAGCGCGTCGCTTTCATCGAAGGCTGCGAGGTTACCCACTAGACTGTGGTGCCTCGCTAAAGAGGCAGAATCTCTAGATGAGGAGGAGACAGAAAAAAAGAGTGCATCCCTCTCGGACAAACGTCGTGGTCAACGATCCGAGGAAGCCTCGTGGAAGACGTCTTAAGGTTCCCCGTAACGTTGCACGCTTCCTCGTGGCTCGGAGCGTTGGCGACATTGACATCGCTGCGAGAGACAATCTCTCGGAGGAGAATGTGGGAAAACTTCTTCAAGGTTTTAGGGCTTGTGGTGAAACACGTGATGCAGGAGGTTGGGTTCGTAGAGTCGTGACAGACGTGGCCATTTTGGTCCCCCCCGGACCGCCTCCAAGAAGAAGCGGAAGGCGAAAGATAGAGTGCGCAAAATCTCCAATAGGGAAAAGCGCAAGCTGAGAGTCGGGTCGTGGAACGTGTGCGGGTTCGCAAGGAGTGAGCGCAAGCGGTTGGAAATAGTGGACCAAGTAGAACAAGGCGATCTAGATGTAGTGGGGATCCAAGAGACGTGGGAATTGAAGGATGGGGACGTGGTAAGCAAACTAGGGAAATACCGGTGGGTAGGGAAGGCAAGAAAGGGCTTAGACCCGAAGAAAAGGGGGGAGGGGGGAGTCGGATTCCTGGTCAAGGAACACTTGTTTGACGTGGTGGAAGTAGTGGTGAAAACGGA